ACGATTGACCGTGACATGCAGGAAGGACTCGGGTTATGGAGCTGTGCGTCCTATTTTTCCCTCGAAGAGCTGCCGAGACTTGCGATCGTGTGCAGGAGGTGGAAGACTTTGGGAGAAATGCTGTCAAACCTGTGCTTCCTTGTACGGTCGATCATCTTGCTAGGGCTCGAGAACACCTTGCTCAGTTTCGAGCTGGCGATTCATTGCATGAACGTGCAGGAGAGCTCGAGCGACGAGCTGTCAGCTGCCAAAGTTGTCCTCAACTCTCACCGAAACTTCCTGATCGAGATGCGATCGCTGAGCCAACGAGGAAAGCTGAGCAAAGTGCAGATTGCGGACTTTGCAATCAAGAGGAAACTGAAATCTGTGCAAGATGTTGGGTATGTCATCTCAGACACGATCTACAAGGCCCAGAGGATACTGGGAAGCAACAGTAGGAGGGAGTCGATGACTGTTCAACAGCTCATGGACGTCAACTTGGAGGTAGAGGCCTACCGTCACCGTCTGGCTGCTGTGCAGGAACTCGGGCTGATTGCTTGCGGGCCATTCGATGACAAGACGTTCCACTCCATCCTTGATCAGCTCAGTGAGTGGAAGCAGCGGAACCTTGTTTCTCTTCGTGATCTCGTTCAAGTTGCCAAGAGCTCCCAAGCGGGAGATCGCAACGAGGTTGACGGCAAGGTGGCGACGCTGGTCACCATGACAACTGCAGAGGATCATATGCAGCAACGTGCGCATGTCCGGCTTGTCTGCGATGTCTCGTTCGGTTCCTCCCTCCAGCAGTTGGTTGTCTCGGTAGCTCGACAGGCGAACCGCAGCAAAGAAAGGTCCTGGACCTGTCACATCGTGAGGGTGGAGCCTTTTTTCCCCACTGCTCCTTCACAGCCTGGCGTGCTGATAGTCCTCGACACTGTGAAACAGGAAGCAGAGTCTGTCATAGCAGACCTCCGCCTGCTCCCCACTCGATTCCTCAGCGTCTCTAGCTGTGAAGAACCCTCCTCCTTCCTCTCCCTCTTCCTCCTCCCTCACGAGTCCCTAGCTCTCACCCAAGAGCGCAAGGTGCAACTGGCTCAGGCCTTGCACAAGGATCTGACGCTGGTGACCGGAGCCTCCTGTACCCCGCACGTGCTGATGGAGAGGAACAACGTGGTGCTAGTGGAGCTACTTGATGGAGACTTGAAGCCCCTCACGCAAGACAAACTGCGTCAGGCTCATCAGCTGCTCAGCGCGGAACTTGCCAACAGCTCGAGCAAATTCATGACGGGGACGGTGTCGAGAAGGGTTGTTGCTATCAGAGCTTTCTCAGCATGGTTGCCACGTCACAGCTGGAGCTCAGGTAACGACGTGATGACGAGCATGGACGTGGATGGGCCGATACTGGACGTGAGGAGTAACTTCGGAGATCTTGTGTGTGAGAGGAGACTATTGGACAGCATCATTCTCCCTGCATGCCGCAAGTACATCAAGGCAAAGACGAGCGACCTTGGGTGGATAGACTTGTGTTATGGAGGGTCCGAACAGATCGAATGGATGGAAACCGATCTCCGGCGGCTTCATCGGGAAGCTTTCATGCGCTCGTCTCCTCGCCTTGTGGGAGGCTGGCTAGACGTCGGTCTTTCGATAACTGTGATAGGAGAGAATGAAGGAATGGCTGTCGAAGACAATGAAGCTGAGGGGGAGGAAGAGATCAACCCTTTGATGCACTGGCTTGCGTTTTCTCGTGAGGAGCAAGCGGAGCCAAGAGTGTTCGATGGGCTGATGATGAAGAGAACGAAGACGTTTGTTGAGGATGAAAACTTCCTTGGTCTACCTCAGTCAGCTCGTTCAAGTATGATGTACTTTGCTGAAGATGAGGAGTCATGGGATGCGACGATGCAGGAGGTGGAGGAGACTTTGGGAGTGGGTCGATGCAGGATGTTTGATACGAATGTCCTTGGGTACTCTGCCCCAGTCAAGACTATCCTGAAGAAGCTGAGGGAGTGGAAGAGAGATTTGATCCTTGACTTGCAAGCTCAACGTGCGTTTCACGACTCCAGCAAGTTTGTGAGCGAGGACTCAAAGATTCTGTCAAACTTCATGACAAGAGCTTCTGAAGTTTCCGTCCGTCAAAGGCTTTACTCGGCGAGGCAGAAACGCAAGCTCATGAGCTACTGGCTCCTCTTGAAAGAGCACTACGACCGGAACGCGTCCCTGAGGCCCTCCAAGGCTGAGCTCGAAGACTGGGCTGAGATCCAAGAGCTGATGAACGACCCCTTCCTCCTCTCCCTCTCCAGAGAAGACGCAACTTCAGGCGTTCACGGAATTCTCGATGGAGACGGCTTCACTTGCCCGGAGCAGGGCAACCCGATCCTTGCTGCCCATGGGCTGAAGGTAGAAGGAGCTGAGTTCCTTGTCCTGGCAGCAGAGATGGTCGCTAGAGTTTGTTCTGCCTACTCATCAGGTCATAGCTGGAGTGAGTCACAATCTTTGGTGCCGTACATGTCATTCTTGAAGAGGAGAGAACGACAGGCCCAGTATCTAGTCAAGTACGCTGAACCCTTTCTAGAGCCCGAGGTTGTCATCAGTAAGACCTTCCCTCCCCACAAGGGGATGAGAGTGTACTCCCCGTCGGAAGCTAGGGTTGGCGAGGTCGTGAAGGAGGCGGAGGGCTACGGGATACGTTGGCTGGACGAGGAAGGGGACACAGTCTCCAATCTAGTTTGGAAGACTAGCTCGCAGGCGACTTCTCGTTACGTTTCCAAGACTCAGTACACTCAGAATCGAGCTGGGGAATATCGGGTGAGCACCCCAAACTTTTGTGTGTTTCACCGGTTGAGGGCAGCAATTTTGAAATCTTTCAAGCACGAAGGGCAAGCGTCCGTCTTTGTTCTCACAGGAGACAACTGCACCGGCAAGACGGTTGTTGCTGCTAAGATGATCTTCAGCCTCTTGGAAGAGAAGCACCTGCAGGAGTCCAAGAGGTTGATATCCTTTCTTTTCGTTCCCGGAGGATGCTTCTTCTTCTCCGGCTCCTTGTCCTCGTTCGAGCAGTCGCCGGCAACGCTGCTTGAGAAGGTTTATTTCGATATCTGCAATCAGGTCCAAGGTGCGCAGCAGCTGCTCCAGGAAGACGCGTTCCTGCAGACAGAGTACAGCTTCTTTGATGTTGCAGACGTTAAGTCCTACTATCCGTCGGATGTTGCGCTGGAGCACAAGGACGTGGTTGAGAGGAGGAAGTACGAGAACGTGAAACTGAGATTCTACAAGCTCATGCTGTACATAGCATTGCAAGAGAGTTCGAGGATACAGCAAATTCTCGTCGTGTTTGATGGTCTTTCCTCATCTTCGATTGCTGTTCTGAAAAGGACATTTGATCATCTGTCTTCAAACATCTTGCAGCCTCTAAGAAAGATGGGACTCAGCAAACTCAACGTAGCAACTCTCATGACCGGAACGGAAAGACTTCACAGTGACGATTCAGCAAAAATCCCAGGTAAATTTCATATCGAGAAGCTGCTGAAGAGTGAGAAAGAAGCCCTTATCCTTCAGAAGCTGGTAAAGAACCCTGAGATGATCATCGCGCAGCAGTTCCACGAGAGTCTTCAACCGTTGTTGAATGCGCTGATTGAGAAGGAAGACAGCGAAAATGTTCTGTTCCTCTCAGCAGTCTGTCGGCGAATCGCAAGATTGACTCAGGAAAAGAAACTTGTCCACATCCAAGAATGCCCGACGACTCTGAGAGACCTCTTCATCAAGTCGATTGTCCGGCCCATGGAAACTCGCTTCGGCCGGCACGTAGTGCAAGCCTTACTCCTCAGCCTGTTGTGTTGCCCTGAAGGAATTCCAGTATCTGATTGCAAACAGATGCTGCAGCAGTACCTCTCGCCGCACCAGACTTCTGGTTATATCCCTATGAATGACCTTGCGTTCTACCAGATCGTGGCTGAATTCCAGGACTTTATGACTCCCTTGCATTCCAACTGCTGCAGGCTCAGTTTCAAGCATGATTTCATTAGCAAGCTTGTACTGCAGCATTACTCGATCGCCACATTCGAGGACCAAGTCATCACTGCGACAAAGGAATCCAAGAAAGAGACGTTGGAGGTCGACAACTCAGGGTACGTCTTCATTCCCGGGCAAGTATGGTCGAAGCACAAGGATGAGGTACAGGTACAGCTTTACGTGAAGGAGAGTAGCGAGCTATCTGTCATCGACCATCCTCTCTACCATGTTCGCTTCCTGCAGGAGGTAGAGGTTGTCACTGAAGAGTCCTACGACCTTGAGCCGGTTGACAAGCCCAAGATCCGTCGAGCTCTCAACATCCCGGTTGTACCTAAGGGCGTCGGCCAGGCCTGGCCCTTCGTGCAGGCGCCTGACCTTCGTGACCGGATCCTTCAACGGCCGTTGCTCAGCGTTGCATCTCACAGCTCCGATGACTCTCACCATCGCAGTAGCGTCTTGCGCGGCTTCCCGTCTGTTCCAGAGAAGCGCTACTCCCTCACGGCTTTCTCAGCTCAGGCCAACCGCCCCGATCGTTGGAGCAAGGCAGAGGGTCTCAACCCAGGTCCTCCCTCCTTCCTGTACCCTAGCAAACCTGAGAAGAGGGTTGAGGTGCCGCGAGTGAAGCCGTCTCCCTCTCTCACAGCGTCACACTGGTCTCTTCCTGGATTCCCTCCCACGTACTCTTGGCAGGACGACAATAGCGAGGATGTTGCCAAGCAGAACAACAGAGAGCGAGTGAAAGCGTACATGACAAGGAGAAAGCAGGATGTGTTCGGCGAACGTTGATGAGAATGCAAGCAGAGGTCAGCGAGTGGTAGAAGACAATGTGTGATTGATTGTTGTTAATAGTCTTCATGTTCAGTGATCCTAAACTTCAGTAAAGTTGATGCCTATCATATATCGCCCCTTCGATCACAATGAGAAACATCTGGGGTTCGGTCCAGAACTTGATCTTACAAGTATCTTACACTACTCGCTTACATCTGTTGCCCAACAGTCGTACAAGGACAACTAATCAATCACGTACCTTTCATTCTTTTTCTCACACTCTCGATGTTGTTCAAAAGAAACGGTTTGCTCGGTTGTGGAAGATCGTCGAGTGGGCGTTTTTTGGCCTTTGAGAAGTACTCTTTCCTCAGGTAGAAACGATCCTTCTTCTTCGATTCGAACTCCAGCTTCAAGTCTTTCAGTATGATCGAGACTGATTTCTCCTTCCTGTAAATGGAAAGATCACTTTCGCTGCGTCCAATCCTAGCAAGATCTGCTGGTGTGATGTGCCTGCCCTGGTGCCTTAGCGAGATTCCAGCTATGGTGACTGGCTTGTCGCCTTGCTGCAACCTGGGCTGCCTCCTCAGGAACTCGAGCTGGTCTGGGATTGGGGATGAGCGGAGGACCATCTTGTTGAAATCCCTCACGCAGAATCCCACCACAGCACAAGTGCCATGAGAACATTTCTTAGCTGCTTTGCTCGTGTCACTGTCGGACATCGTAACACGGATATCAGCAAGCCCCGCCTCTCCGATGTCAAGCGAAGTGAAGAAGCGAATATCTCATCGCCGACAGGGAATATTCCATCGGCTGCCTTTCACAATCAGGTTTCTAAGGATAGGGAAACATATCAGAGTAGGTCAATGGCTGTCGCCTTGACCTCTAGCAGTCTGATAGTTGAACGCGTTGGTAACGCTGCGTGTTAGGAGGGTACCAAGAGGGGAATCTGCCTGTGCGGTCGATCGCACGTCACTGCTCGTGTAATTTTACTGGATTGTCTACCTTATGATGTTACATCGCCGATCAAATCAGACACCTCGTACCTACTGGAATATTTCCTAATGAGGCACATAGATTTTGTCATAGGTATATGAAGCCTGAATGGAGGTTGTCTTGAGCACGCCAACTTTTTTGAACCAATTTAACCAATGCCATGTGACTTTCTGTCTCAGTCACGAGGCACAAAAAGATAACGCGCATCTCAGAAACACTACCTACCCCACCCTCCGACCGCAAATTGATGGGGGAAACTGCCACCTACCTTTCCCCCTCTCTTCGCTGTCAAAGTACCCGTACCCTACCGAGAGTCATATTTCACTGAGCACCCTATGAGACACCCCAAGGTCTATCTTTACACCTGCTCACCACTGCTTGCGCCTGTTCTCGTGACCGCCTGCGCATCCGAGGTCACGTGCTCAGCGGCTGCCGCTGTCACTCGAATCGGAGCCATGTAACTGTGACCGTACAGTGACACTCCGACTCACGGCCCCCGTGTGTGCCGGGACCGTCCGATCGGACTCCCGGACGGGCTGCCCCGGGCCGGTGCCGGCCCGGGGCCGTGAACTTCGGAAGTCCGGGCCGTCGGAGCCGGGCCCGGCCGGCCCCGGGGCAGTCACGGACGGTGTCGGATGGCACTGAGCGGGCCGCGCGGCTCAGGCTGCGGCTGAGACCGCCTCAGTGAAACGAGGAGGCTGAGGCTCAGCAGCTTGACTCTGTGACCCTGACACTGTCGCACAGGCCAAACGGCGACTCGGAGAAGAGTCGAAGAAAAGACACTGCGGCGAGAACCAAACCCACTGATCCTCAGCGCGGCACTGCACTGCAGGACAATCCCCCCGCGCCACTGATGCCAGCCGCACGGATGTCGCTGTGGCGGCGCCGCCGAAGGAATGAGCCTGTGCCGCACTGACAGTGATACCGGAATGCACGGGCCCGCGATGATGGCCGGGCAGTGTACTACCGTAGGACACTGGCAGGGAGGCCTTGCCTGAGCTGACGTCGGAAAGATCCTGAGCCTCCGAGGCTGAACCGGATGCGTTTGCAAGTCGGATCACCCGGCTGAGACGTCCGAGTCAGCCGAGTCTTGTGAGGCCGAGAGACCATCCAGCGCTCAGCCGTTTCCTTGTTCCGAAGTTCAATTCGCCGAGCCTCGGAGCGATCCGCCAGCCACCGATTCTCAGGGCAGGCTAGTACGGCGCGCCGCCGCGGCGCGGCAGAGCACCGGCGGGAGCCGCGGCCGGCGCTGAACTTCAGGCTTGTGCCCCCCCGGTTGAACTTCCCGAGTCCGTTGATCCGAGGGCCGCGGGACTCGACTCGTCCGGGGATCATCGGGCGGCCCCGGCCCGATACGTGCCCAGGCTACCCGTACAGTGACCGGACCTGATCAGGACCGAACGGTACTAGGCTACCGTACGGTAGTACAGGCTACTGTACCAACTGATTTACTAACCGTTGAACCGGCAGCTTAACTCTGAACTTGCCAAGTCCGGAACTGAGCGGCCGCAGCCTGCAGTGCGGCGCTCGGCCACCGAGAACTGTCAGACACTGAGAGTGAGGTATCTTCAACCTGTTCGCCGCCAAGTAACAGCTTTCGATCAAGGATATTTTGGAAAGAGCTGTTTTGTCCTTCCATCCACCTATCGCAGAAAAGAACAAGCCTGCTCCCCTGGAATCATGGCACAGTGGTCAGTCTAGATGCAGTGAGAGTCTCAATGATGTCGCAAGCCTATAGTATCTGAGCCTGAAAGGATTACGTGCGTGGTCGGTCTCTGATTCAACACTATATCAGGCGATATGAGTATTGTGAAGAAGTCGATGCGCTTCAATCGGAATGACGAGTTCACCCTGTCCAGAACAAAGCAAGTTTGCTCGTGTAGGATTCCATACATAATATAGTGAAGGGTCATCTACTGGTCATGTATCAAAATGGTGAAATGTCAGGGTTCATCAGCTGAAAGCTCAGATCATCATGTTTTTATACATGTTAAATACTAGGGCATCTACTTCTACACATATCATTGTTACTAATGTCGCTTCCGGATTCCTCTGTGCATTCCAATAAGTTCTCTGCGGGGGGGCTAGGTTCAGGGCACACTACTTTTACACTCGCACTTAGGATCCTTTCCGTATAGCACGGTACTGATACCCTCCGAGTTGCTGAAACTGATTGGTCTTCACGAATGCAGTATCCAACAATCGCGCAGGTGCCGTGATTACAGCTTCTGCGCGTTGGTATAGCTTCGTATTGCTTTGGTTTGCAAGCAGAGGTCCGTATGAGCTTCATTTCACCAGCGCATCGGTGACTTGTTTCATGGACAACATCTACTTTGTCACAAATTTCATGTGATGTCGTGGTAGCGGTCGTCTGCATTCTTGTGTGGTAGCAGATAGGTGACCTCTATTTTATTAGCTCTAATGTCCTCGTGACCCCACGACCCCATTCAAGTTTACTACAATACTCCGAGCTACCCCTACCCCCTCATGGCCCACAAAAAGTACCTAATTTCGATATCCCAGATACACTTCAATGCAGCATGACCCATCCGCGTGACCAAAAGGTTCGATCATGTGTTCCACCCCCACCCCCTTGGACTGCTTCTGGTACCCTACCTAAATCATCGTGGAGGCTGAACCCCTGGCCCCAGTCAGATCTCTCCACCCCTCCTTTTCACAAGAATCACCGGTACTGCCAGCCTCTTGCACCGCTCACGGACCAGTAGAAGTGCATGGTTGAGGCCACGACCGTGGTCACGAGGGATACCTCTGAATGCTCACGTTTCAGGCTCCGGAAGGTGTCGAATGTCCGAAACGGTGTAACATAGGAACGACGGCCTGACCCGTGAATGAGGCTGTGACTGTCTTCTTCTCGTGACCCGCCTGACGGACGGGGGCCGTCGAACTCCGAAGGTGACAAAAGTGTCGCCACCCGGCCGTGTCGCGCCCGCAACCGTCTCACAGTCACCGGGCGGAGTCCGACGGTCGGACTCACAGGCTGACGGTCTACGGTCAGTGAATCGGATCCGTCACGCCGCCGGTTCCCGGCGGCCCCGGGGACCGGGCTCGCCGCAAGGCCCGGCCCCCGCAGGCTGCCAGCCGCGGAGGCTCACCGTGGCAGCATCTTCTTTGCTGATTGTTAACTTAACTTTGAGTAAAGACAAAGTTAAGTAGACCGCAGCCTGGCAGGGCTTTTTACTCAAAGTTAAGGCAGGGCGGCTGCGGCCGGGCCCGGCTCACTGAGTCAGGAGTCCGGCCGGGCCCGGCCAACTTGGCCCGGGCCCGGTGAGTGCGCGGCAGTTTGATTTGAAAGGGCGTGGGCTGATTGGGGGATGAGGCGTCGGTTAAGGCTAGATGGCAGTACCGCGAGGAATGGTGATAGGGGGGAGGGGAGGGAGGGGAAGGGGAAGAGGAAGAGGGAAGGATAATCTGAGCAATGAATGGGATACAAGGAGAGAAGGAACAGGGGAGGAGGATACAGATGCTGATGTGGAGATGGTGGAGACCCAAGGGGTTCAAGCACAGGATCCGAGGGAGCTTGACCCTGGGACGCTGGTAATGGTCGAACAAGGGAGCGAGGAGGGGAGGTTTAGAGGTACCATAGTGGATGGATGGGACGGTGCTCTGTTTCACGTGAGATACATGGACAAGCACAAGAAGGATGATGAGGTAAGTCGAGTGTCTGCATGGACATTGATGTACTGTGCTCAGTGATTCTGATACCGAACACGCTTGCAGATCGTTGAGATCAGCAGGATTTTCAAGCTGCGAAGAATGTGCAATAATCACATTCAGATTCAAAGCGTGAAGACATCGCATTCCAAATCAACGAATGACGCGCGGGTTGCCCCCCAGGATGTTCATGTTCAACTTCAGACGATCGTCGAGAACCATGAACCAACAAGCCGTCGGGATGTAACACTACTGATGGATCAGAATGCATCGTTGCCTGATTCTGCATCTGAAGATGAAGTTGTTAATGGCATGTTATATAAGGACAAAGAGGGGAATGCGGAGGAAAGGAACTTACACACTGAGGTAGAAACTCTGATCAATGAACTGAAGCTGAGGCGGGGGAGCAAAGGGGTTGCTTCCAGGAGTAAAGAGCTCGACCAGATACAGGAGTATCTCATGCAACAGAAGGAGAAGATGGAGAATGCTGTGAGAGTTGAGTTTGAGGTCGATGCACAGTTCGTTGGCTTGGTGGTCGGGAAACGAGGAAGCAACATCGCAAAGGCATCTGCTGTTGATGGAGTGGTCAAGATCGACGTGCAGGAGACAAGAGTTGCTATCATTGCTGAGTCTATGGAAGCAGCCGAGGCTGCAAGACAGATGCTTGAGTATAGGAGACTAAACATCCCTGTCGAGAGAAGAACTACTCGGCTTCTGGTGGGGAAGGGGGGTAAGAACTTGAAAGATCTTCAAAGCAGCTCGGGGGTGTCACGAATCAAGATCGATGATGGAAAAGGAATAATCGAGCTTCTTGGTACACAGATAGTTTTGTTTTTGACCACTGTATTTGTCATGTCATAACGAGTTTCCTGCAGGAAATAGCTCATCGCTTGAGAAAGCCCGTCGAGGGATTGAGTTGATTGCCCGATTCGTTTCTCAGCAAGATGAGTTCATTGAAGGATCAAGAGATTTGCACAGAGACGTGAATATGATGATTGGTAACTCTGTTCGGTCGGAGAGCCAGGGCGGGATGTTTTTTTCCTTGGTGGAAGGTGATGGTGAAAACGGAAATCAGTTCGTGTTCACTGATGAAGGGATGAACTATACAATAGAAGTGCTGAGTTCTAAACTTGGCTTGATTATTGGTCATCATGGGACGAAGATCAAACAGCTGAAGGAGGCTTCAAAGTGTGGTATTGAGATCGTGCGAGGGCAAGAAGAGATCAGCAAAATTTACATCACCGCGCTGAGTGATGACGCGGATCCTGACCTTGCGCTATCATTGATCAACAACATCGTACTGGATCCCCAGCCAGGACAAACATACGCACAGGCATCAATCACAAAAGTTGCAAACTTCGGGGTTTTTGTTGCGATCGGGGAAGGGAGAGAGGGGCTGCTGCATGTCTCCGATGTCCCGCTCATGAAGAGTGGAGCTATCAGTTATAATGTAGGACAGAAAGTGAATGTTGTAGTTACTAGCGTAGATGATCGCGGTAAGATTCGTCTCGGACTCATGCAACACGACGAGGACGGTATCTTGCCCGACTCGAATGGGATCCCCGTGAGAAAAAAGAAAGAGGCTTTAGGTCCGATTGCGAGCTCCTGCGTTGCTCCTTTCTCACCTCCCTACTGCAGATGTCCGCCAAGGAGAGGAATGGCCGGCGCTGCTCGGGCCCATGCAAGAAAGCCGAGATGAATGGTACGCGCGAATCAGGAGCCAGAGGAAAGACGCCAGCCATCTTCACGCCAACGCTTCCGTCCCCAGCAAGAACTTTCCCGCAGCCAAGGACTCGAACTCCTGGGATGAGAACTCGAGGACCAGGCCGCGGCAGCATGCTCCTGTCTCCTCTCCGGAGGCCCCTTCAGCTTCCATACCGCACACCCCGTCAGCTAACCGCAGCATCGGCCATACACCCACTGGCCCTCGCCATCTTGGAAGGAGCGCACAGATGGAGTCTACCGGGCCTACACGAAACAGGATGGAGCAGCCACGTACCTTTCGTGTGGCCGATGCAGACTACTCACGCGAGTACGTCCTTTATGCTCCCAAAGAGTCCGCGATGGGAAGAAGAGAAGGGGTTGGTGAGTCATTCAGACTCTCTGTGACCCTCTTCTTTTCTGAGCTGACTGACGTTGTCGTAGGCCTCTCGAGACCGTCTGATCGCGATGAGACAGAGGCAGGAGGTCAGGAGATCACGTCACTACGGCAGCGGGTGGCCCAGGCTCGCGGTAGGAGATGATTGAAGTTTTGAAGAAAGTTGGGGAGTTTTCTCGGATCCAATCTCGGTGTCATCGGCTATCATAGTACGGTATGCGGCGCGGCAGTGCAGAATGGCAGTTGAAACCGAGCCTCGGAACTTGAACCCTATTAGCCTCAGCCGCATGATGACGCAGTCAGTGACCTTGACTGCCATGATGAATCTTGACTTTCGGATGAAAGAGCCTCCGAGTCTCGTCTCGCTGCTGCCAGCGTCACGCGACCGGGGTCCGATGTTCGACTCACGCTGAGGAATCATTGACGGCGTACCGTTCTGGGTGGGCCGGGGCCCGGGCCCTGCAAGTTCCGGTTGAAGTTCACCTCACTGAGTCAGTCAGGCCGCAGGATTACACCTAGACGGACCGTGCAGCGGAAATCGGCCGAGTCCAGGAGGCTGACATGATGGTACCTGGGGTACCTCAGTAGCCTGGGTGGGGGTGGGATGGGGAGAGCTGCTACAACCATGAATCCTTGGGGATGTACGGGTCATTCACTCACTTAACAGGGTAGGGGTACTGTTTGGGGGTATTTGAACGATTGGTGGGTGGTAGCGAGATAATGGGGGTAAAGGCATAATGGGGGCGGGGGGTTGAATTTTATAGGGGTAGGGGTATGCAAGTTTCGCATAAGTACGGGTAATTCTGGCTATGTTTCGAAGGGGTGCTTTGTGGAATAATGAGTTTAAAAGGGTGGTGTAGGTGATGAAACGTAGTCATTTGTACCCACAAACCACAGGAACGCGAACGATGAGCGATGGGTAGACGAAGGGGACTAGGAAGAAGAGCAGGGAAAGGAGAGCGCGATGAGGATAAAGGCTTGAAAAGACACTTCCTAAGAATGATAGAAGCACGTTGTTAACCACACACATCTGTCAACAGGATAGTTGTCATTGGGTTGAAGTTTCTTGCAGTTTGGGGATTCAGTAGTTCTCGGATTCCATAGTGAGCGAAAGGGTCGGAAGCTCGTAGAACACATTTTGATCACAGTAGAAGAAAATAGTTGACATTGTTGCTTCAACGAAGATGTTCGTTTCACAAAGATCTTGATGGGAAAAACTCAAAGTAGTCTTTTCCTTTCTATGTGAAAATAGAAGAGGACTACAGAGGTGACGTGAACATAGAAAAACGACCTAAATGATCCGCACATTCCTGTCTTTGCATATAGATGTTTCATTACAATTTCTTTGTCGAGTTCTGAAGCTTTATCCTTCCAGATTATACTTCAAGCAGTTTTTGGGACGATTTGAAGTTTGAGACAATTTGGGAAGCATCTGAAAGGACGGTGGCAGGAAAAAGCTGCACCACGACAAGCAAACAAGGAATACAAAGCAGCTTTTGATAGAACCAAGCAAGAATGGTCTGGACCAAAAACTTTGAAGAGTTGAAAGATGATGACAGCGCTGCTAAATCATACTCAGCACCGACTTCTAAGTCCGGGCGGATGCTGGCGGAAGAAGAGCAGGGTTACTTCCCCAAAACCTCAATCGACATTGTCAGATCCAAAGGGAGCAAAGGGAACAGTCTTGTGGTCAGTGCGTTCAGGTCTGCGTGCGAGAGAGGGAAGGATATTGGAAAGAAACTTGGCTCGTTTACACACGAGTTGCATCTTCCGAGTTTGCAGCACTTGTTGTCTAAGGGTAGCGAGGGCGACAAGATCGACAGGAAGAAGAGCGCAGCCGACATGCATGTTGAGCTGATCGAGACATTCTTGAAAGCACAGAGAGATGGTGGAGTGAAGCTTGTACACGAAGAACGGGACGAATTCCAAGACAGCATCGCTGTCGGCGACGAATGCTGCTAGTGTCAATACCCAGAATAGGTATGGGACGAGCAAGCATGCAGATCAGAACCCTTGTTCAAGTCCAATTTTGCTTCAGGCTCTGTAAAATCAATTTTCCCACGTGCTTTGGAATCTTACGGTAGCAAGACAAGACCAGGCGCGGCCAGAAGTGCTTTGCTGTATTGACCATCCAAGACGAACAATCCAAGTGAATCACGAACAATGTACAAAAAAAGGACCAGTGCCATCAGCCACAAGACAGGCCTCAAGCGGTGTCGTCCCTCATATCCTTTTGCCAGAACTGACAAGAAGACGTCACATGTAGTCATCATGGATATGTTCTCTCACAGTTGGCAGAGTGTTGTTCCGTCCTGGACCGACATTCGAGTCCATACCGCCCAACTCGAGCGACCTCCTGCCCACCTTATCATTGCAGAGAATCTCATCAGCATGCTGAACCACCTATAAGCTGCCCAGACGGCATCGGACACTGTAGTTCTGAATCCTCCCTTCTCCAGGTTGTAGATTGCGCTTGATGGTAAAAATCAGTTTTCATACGCGGTGCTCCTCCTCTATTCTCACCTCGCAGTTGTTCCGCCAGGGCTGGTGATGTCATTGCGAAGCTTGGAAACATGTTCTCCGGACTGGGCAGATGGTAACCATGAAGTCGATATGTTTATGCGGAACCTGGATTGCGTACAAGCAAGTTCCTAGAAGTGTATTCATCACCAGTCGTTCAGCAATATGCCTAGGAAATCCTGTAAAGGAACGTCAAGAAATTCCTGAGTATGCAACATGCAAAAACGGATGCCATAACATGACCACACCACAGCATGGATCAAATCCAAAAAAACAAACAAGGGAAACCCCATCTTATTGCATCATAGCAACAAAGTACATGAGGTATGGTCATTGCTTCTATTCAAAGTAAACATACCCATGTGCACTCCCGAATCAATCATGGCTTCCATCGTCAAGAAAACATAAGCAGGGCCCGACCCTTAAGAAGTGTCATTTGGGCCTAAAACCAGAAATTCCGTTCTCAACCGGAAATGGCCGTCGCCATGTCCAGAAACCGCTCATCTTCCATATAGATTTCGTCTCCAATAGCAGAAAATAGCTTAGAGATGAGCTAGCAGTCCAGAGAGCTGTCAGAGAAGGTACCAAGATCCAACAATACAAGCAGACCTCCTTCTTTTCCTTGGGCAAATCCCTTGTAGAACACCATACCGTGCACCCCTGCAACGAATAAGACTGCAGTGCATCTGAGAGGTATGACATACTTGCTCTACAGTCACGGGGGTATTTGGCATAGCTCGAACAATGTTCTACGAGTAAACTTCAACAAGGAATCGGTGAAGTGAGTTTCTTCGACCTCCATTCCAGTGTATTTCTGGAAAGCATGCAGCGGAACCCCTGTCATTGAAATGTCACAAGTACTTTATTTCGGCTAACAGAGTCCCAACCAGCAATGATGGACGCGAGAACTGTGTCAGTGCGGAGAGGACCCATCTTCTCAACCTGCGAGGATACAAAGAGGCAGAATTCAGCAGTCTTTCCATGCGCAAGGAAGTCTAACCTCTGCCTTGAGAGGTTTTAAAACTGCCTCAACATTTTGAGGCTTCACTCCTAGAAGAACTATGTCGGCATCCTTCCATGACACAATCAGCATGACAAAGCATTGAGATAGTAGACAAAACCATAAGCAGATTATGCAATGATTCTGCCTTTCTAATGCCAGGAAATGCTTTGCAGCATGCATCCATCTATTCAGTTCCAAGGTTAACAATCTTCTCAATCAAGATTTGACCCGACCTGATCGGTTGACACATCGTAAACCATCACATTGTGTGCTCTCTGAACCTGTTCAATGCTCAGGACCAAATCTGCACCAGATAATCTTTGCATACCCCGTTTCGAATCATACCGCCCATAATTGCCTACAAGTGACCATCACAACCAAGCAGTTCTTGTTGGCACTGTATACCTTAGCCATATTTCCAGCTCCAATGAATCCAATTTTGTCACACAAGTTCCCGGCAGCTGCTGGAATTGCTATCAAGGCAACTTTGTATGATACAGCACTGCAACACACCAGAGATAGAGAAGCTTCGACAAAGAACCATGCCGATGCCAGCCTGTCTAGCCATCGTCTGTTCGCTCAGAGCAGAACTTGGAGCCCCCCAGCAAGTTGAGCTACGATGCAACGCGTTCATGCCTCCCTGCAGAAGCGATCTCTGGAAACTGACGCCAAAATAGCGCATCTTGGGCAGATTTCCTCGTCTCTTTGAGTAAATGATCAGAACGTGGAGGTTCCAGACAGATTTGAACAATTGAGGTTTGGGGATCACTAGGATTTTGACTATGGGTATGGGTGCAGGATATTGAGGAGATATATATTGGGGGGATGGAGAGGCGAAAGATGCGCAACATCATCATGTATCTGGATAACATACATTGGCCATAATGTGAGGTAGTGATGTCATGTAGATTTCCTCCTCTATCATCTTTTAGGATGGTCGAACGGATCGCTTTCTCGTAATATGACAAGGTTGTGGTGGGAAACAAACCAAGATTTCAAAATGGAACACTTCTTAGCCAGCATGTCAAATCGTGAGATTCATCAGATAGTACATGTCATGGCACCATCTAATCATCTTGCTTTCTCAACATGTTCATCTTTTCCCTCTAAACTCCTTCCGCTTCTGCGCTTTTTCCCCATTTTTGCAGATGTGTCCCCACCCCACCCCACCCTTATCAACAAAAGTAACCCCACATCAAAAACCCCCGAATTACTGAGATGGACCATTGCTTTTTGTGCTATAACCCCTTCTTTCTAGTGTTTTCACCCACCCTTTTCTCAGGAAGATACTACCCAAATTTGCTATGTACCCCTTGATAATTTTTCGTACCCACCCTTTTGATTTTCCTGGTACCTCTGAGAGACTACCCTCAAAGTTTGCATTTACCCTGCAAAGGCCATCACCCCTACCCCTCAGGTTCTCACGAACACATACCCACCCCCTTGTTCCTCTTGTCTCACAATTGTTTCGAGTTGGGTCTCAATTGCAATCAACATTTTCCCGTGTAATCATATCTGATTTAATGTCATTTGATTTGTAGATTACAAATATAGAAATGAATTTTAAAAAAGTTTGAAGACACTAACATTTGTTTTGCATACAAAAGAATCACTACCGGATTTGCAATTCATCATACTTATTATTATTCATACCCCCCCCCCTCACAACCCCACCCTTTGTTTGAAAACACCCTACCTATCTATAGCCCTCCTTGTTTTGACCTGATTGCAATTTTTTCAGGTTTTCAGGGTAATATTATGCAGAGACGTGAACTTGTTTTGAAAATAGCAAACAGACCATGGCGCAGGCAGCGAACATTTTGCCCATGGAGTCCGCAACAAGACAGAAGGGCAACAACAGACATCATCATCTTGGATGAACAAGATGCCAGATTACATTGCTATTGATATGAACAATCACGAAAAAGCTTGATCGTGATACTGTGAGAGATTTGAGGAGAAATACCTGCAAATCCCGAAGTTTTCGATGTGCATTATTATTCGATGTGCATATTTAGATCAGCTAGATTCTTACACCAATACAAGAAGATAGGTGCATTTCGAATGTAAATATTATTAGCACACCAGCATGGGAATGTTGTACTAGTGAGAGAACAGAGATGTGGACTTGGAATCATTGAATACCAATTGATACTAGCAAATTCACTCCCGTCAGATGCAGATCGTACACAGATCGCACACTTTGACACATTTTTGACAGAAACGAAGTTGTTGAGAATTGACAGAAGGGGGGGTGAAGGTAAGACGAACAGCATAGCCCTGTTGTTGCTCGTTTAATCGTAAATGGTGTACAAATGATTTATTGTCTTGCTTTCAAAACGTGATGCTCATTGAGATTCCTATCCGTTTGAATCTTGGCTCCGTGCCAACAACATGATTCATTCAAACCCCTTTGAGCTATATGAGCTGGAGATATGTAGTTTGCTATGGTACGATAAGCTCGTCTATCATAGAACTAATGTCTTCAAAAATTTGTCGAATGAGAGTGATTCGATGTTACGATCGAATGAGTGCAAAGTTTACCTTCTCCAAGATTCTCCGTCTTCTGCGAGAATCTCCATGATTCTGTGTCTCACGTCGAACTGATACCACCTGCAGTTCACTCTCTCGAATCCGAAATTGGATCTTAAGTTGTCTTCGACATGGCAGAGCTCTTAGTAAATGCCTGTTTCTATCTTGCACCTTGACCAAATGCTTATCACTGCGTGGCTTTTCCATGACTGCCTTTTCTTGACACTGCAACTATCGAAACTAGCTTGTTCGAACCGGGAGGTAACTCCTCGACCCCATCTATTTTCTCTTCCGCTTGAGAGTCGTGCTTCGTGTACAGTAAAAAACCTCCCTCACATCAAAACATTGACCTACTATGAATCATCTGAAGGCATTTTGAGCAAGAACTCAAACACTGGGATATCAAAGAAATAGAAGTTTATTCTCTACATTACAGCCAAACAGAAAGACCTTCAATAAGTGCTGGTCAATATACATGGATGGTTATCTCGCACAAGGTCCAATCGTAGCTTGAAAGTTTCATGTGGGTGGTGTTTTCTGATTGCAACCCAGAGCTCATGGTCGGAAGTAACCAGTATATCGTCACCGTCGTCATCCATGTAGGAGAGAAGAAACCTCTTCGAGATGTCATGGCCGTTTGCCTTACGTAGAATAGACGTCAACTCTGAAAAGCACCCAGAAGGCACACTGTTCCTATCCTTCCTTTGCAAGAAAATGAATACTTTACGCAAAACGATCTCGTCTGATTCTTGTTGGCATGCGACTTTGAACTTTGCAATACTCGATAAGTCTTCTGTCTGCTCAAAGCAAGGGTTCCAAGGATCAAATCTGCCGTCTTCTGAGTAGGAAATGGAAGGAGAAGCAGAATTCGACCAAGAAGAGTCACTCTCGGCAAAACTTTTTGAAGACAGAGAGTCGTCTGAGTCTGAGTCGGGACTGTTTGCAACCGAGCGATGCGGCCCCTTACAAGCCTTGGGGTTACTTGCTTGCTTCAAGATTTTTGATATTGCTGATTTGCTTTTACCAAACATGGTGGCTAGCTCGGATTGACTCTTTTTGACAGCTGGGTCGTTTGATTGGTTCAAACGAATGATTTCTGCTCTCTGGGTTTGAGTTAGCCTAACTTTTCCCTGACAATGCTTCTTGTGTCTTATTCTTTCATAGTCCGTCCAAGTTCTTCCACGCTTTGCCTTATTGCTGCTAGTCGGAAGATGCTCAAATTGGTCATGATTGACAAGGGATCGAATTTCAAACCCAATCTGTTGCCCCGCATCGTGGTAGGGAAGCACGTTGTCTCGGCATAGGCTACACTTAACAGATCCACTCTCACTTACAAGGTCTTGCACGATCGTTTGTGATTTACATTCCGAGCACATTGCGATGAGGAGATTGCTGCTATGCCTTGATGGCGTAGGAAGAGTTTCTACAGCGCTCATTGAGTACCCTGCTAGGACGAGCGTGAGCGGCGCAGGAGGGGTTTAGGACTTTGAAGGGGGGTGTCGGTGACTGTAATAAAAGGGTGGGCTGGGGTTGTCACTCCCGGGGTTGGGTCTTGCAGGTGTATCAGGGGGTGGGGGGTAAAGTGAGTCAGCAAGTCACGTTATTCGCGGGGGTTGTAAAGAAGCGGTCACGTCAAAAACGGGAAAAAAATCCAACGAAACTACTCTGTTTCGACTTAGTCACGTTGATCGCGGGGCTTAAAAACTCCCTTTGTAAAGAATCTGAAAAAGAAAGATTTCGAAGCGATTCCTCTCGTCCCCAAGAGACGAAAGGTGGAATATGATTTGTTCGTCTCTTCCCAAAATCCTGAACTGAGAGTCAATGTAGAAATTGGATGTGCGGCTATACATGACAGCCCAAGGGAAAACCTTGGATTGAACGTTTATTGCACAAGACAATGATGGCACAAGCAACGTTTGGACAATCAAGAACGATGAGATAGAGCTAAAAATGCAAACACTCGTTCATTGATCTATTGATAACCAATAGGGTAACGATGAAAGGAATAAATTAAAGAAATTTCCGAAGATTTTCTTAACAAATCAGCTGCACATTCATTCTAACATACAGGCCCGCTGGAAAATGCTTCATGGCAATGCCAAGCTCATGGTCAGAGGAGACAATTATGTTGTCACCATCCGCGTCTTGGTAAAACAGTCTCATAGTGTCTGCGAATGCGACGTCGAGGCCAAATTCTTTGATCACCGCTTCAACAAGCTTTCGATACCCTTGAAACGGTTCACCAAGCCAGTTAGTGTCAAGCCACAATGGAATGACTCTGCAGGATTGATCGTTTGAAGTAGAAACAAGGAACTCAACCATGCATCTTCCATTGCTTGGACTTGATTCCTCAATTCCCCAAAACCCGTGCTCTCCGCCGTAACTCGAATCCAAGTCAGACCTTGCTTCTGTGCATTCTGTATCCGATCGGATAAATTCAACATTTTTGTTGTTGAAATGTGCTGCATAATTCTTTCTTATCTTCTCAACGCTGCTTGGTCGCAAAATTTTCGAAATGGCAGATCTGCTGGTTCCAAAGAGCCTTGCAATCTGTGCTTGAGTCATCCTTTGTCGCGGATCACGCACTGAGTCCAATTCAACGATTGCTGCCCTCTGGGAAGGTGTCAAACGCATCTTGCGGGAAAGCTTTCCTGTTTTCTTTGTACCGAAGCTTTCGAGCCCGTTTCCGAGAGACATAGCATAGGTTCCAGACTGCCATGTGTTTCCCTGCAAGATAGCAGCGCCCAGAACAGCTCCATTATTGTGTGTATATACTGGCGTGTACCCGCTACATACATGAGAATCACATGCTGCGAGAGGATCATGATTGCGAATTTCCATTGTTGGCTGTATTTCACACTGGTTTGCGAGATGTTCGACAGCAGGCAGCTGATAGACTGCTTGATCATAATGATAGGTGTGAAAGAAGGTTTCAGGATAGTGATGCATGTTTATCTTCAGCCTCCTCTCTTGTGCCTAGTGTTGTTTTTATAAGCAAGTTTCTGTGGCAACAGGGAGAAAGAAAAGCAGGTCCGCCTCGGATCTTGGTTGGGGGGACGTGGTCTGTGATACCTCCGAGTTGTTTTGAGTACCGGTACGAGACACGAGAGAAAGGTGGGTATCTTTGTCTTTGAAAAGCTACAAGGTGGAGACGATTGGGAATGATATCAAGGAGTCCTTTTGACAGGGGTATTCTGCCTATGGGTGTAGGGTGGGGTGCTTGCGTCAGCGATTGCAAGTGGAAAAAAGAAACTAAAATGAGCGACCATTGCCACAGGGGGATGTGACCATTGTAATCTCCGAGATCATTTACGCTGATGGTACTTTGATATGCTTCGGAAGGGGAAAAGAGGGGTGGGGGTGCGCGGGCTCAAAAGGGGCAAGCAAAGCTTGCGGGTGGAAAAAAGAAATCCTGCAGGTGGAAAAAAGAATCTGTTAGCGCCGGGATCCCAAAAAAAGGGGAGCCAGGCAAGAAAGACCCTTTTTTCCGGCCGGGATCCCAAAATAGCGCAAATGCCAAGAAAAAGGGTGTTTTGGGATCCTCCCGAGGGTGGGTGGTTCCAATCGGTGTAGAACCCCACCCCCGATCAGATTTGAATCTGCAACCTCAAACCGGAATTATTTTGAGATCCAAGAGTTATAACAGATCTAAATCGGCATACAAGGGTTTTACGGGTTTTAAAATCGGGACGTGTGGTACAAAGATCAGTACTGCTGGTACCAACACGAAGAAAAATTGCCAAGCAAAACGATGCAGAGGGGGGTGGTGGGTGGTGGGTGGTGGGTAGTGTACGTTACATGGGAAGGAGGGGTGGGGTCCCTCCTCACCCCCCCGAACCCCTTCCAAGAACTGGGTCCTTCCTAGCCTTAAGAAGGACGGACCCTCCTCACGATGGGGAAGGCAGCACCCCGTCGTGTCCCGCACCCTGAGCAATGGCGGACAATGGCGGACAAAGCCAACCGCTGGAGGCTGGTCTCCACCAGGATGGCAACCAAGCCTGCGCGAGTCATGCAGGCGATAGTCATGACCAGGAAGTTGATCAGCTCTCTCCATCCAGTTCTACGAACCCCCCGGCTGTGGCACAGCCCAACTCGTGTGTCTTCGGTGCTGTTTGCTTGATGCAAAAGGAGGCAAACGCTGTTCTGAAGGTATGCAAAATATGCAGGTTGTGCTTTCACCTTGTCTGTGCATGGGAGTTAGCTGGCTCGGATCGCAATGATGAATGTGGAAAGCATGCACCTCGTTCACGCAGAAAGAGGGTCAAAGACAAGAATGCGCTTCTGAGAATATTTGACGACCCTGAGGCTTGTAGCATTTCGGCTTCAGATGACCCCAACATCCAAGCATTTCTTGATCTGGAATTCAACACGGTGAGCCGAAGCACTCAAGAGACGTATGCTTATCGAATTATGGGTATGATCGAGTTCTTCCAGAAGGATCCAAGATATCACGCAGCACTCAACCCAGGTCGCACGAACCTGAAGCTCCCATTGCCATTGGACTTGCTCCAGGCTTTCTTTGGTTGGCTGTGTGAGCACGACGGAATGAGGACAGCAGGGTCCAAGAGGAAGGCAGCATCGGCAGTAAGTGCGGACGGCGAAGAAGAAGAAGAAAATGCAGATACCCCAGACGTGGCAGGTCACGAGCGTCAGGCAGAGGTAGCCAACATTTTGCAAGTATCAAGCAGAGACAAAGCAACCGTAGCTGTGTCCACCGTGCAGGGTTACAAAAGTGCGTTGAAATATCTGTACAGACGCAGGAATGTTATGTTTACGGCAATTGGGTTGAAAACTGGCGGAAGATCATTGGATGACATACTGGATGGTTATATCAATTCCTATACCAAAGAAGTTACCCGGAAGAAGGGCGACGGTGTGATGCAGGCCCACGAGGGCAAGACAACTCTATCCATGCCAGAGTATAAAGCACTGAACAACATCTTGAAGGAGCTGAGACCTCGCAGAGGAAGTTCAGAGTCCGGCAGTTCATGGATTTTCTCTTGGGCATGCTGTTCTGTCATGTGGAACCTGGTATGCAGAAGTGAGAGTCTAGACATTTTGCATCTTGAGCACTTTGACTGGGAAAATGATTGCATGAAGGTGGTCTTACTCAAGACAAAAAAAGATCAGTGTGGCATTGGTACTGACATGCGAAGCACGAGGATAAAACATGTGTTTGCATCGCCCTACACACCAGAAATGTGTCCTATTCTCATTCTTGGGTTGTATATATTTGCCACGCGACATGGGCAAGTCTCATTCTCTGGAACGAAGTTATTCCCAGGATCAGACCAAAAGCAAAGGTTTTGCACGTTATTGCAAAGAGGGATTCGACAAGCTGCAGACCAGTATCATGGCAACTTGGAAGAAGCAGGGAGTCATTCGCTGCGCAAGGGAGGAATATCTCATCTCCTTGCTTTTCTGGAAGGACCAGGTAAGGGCCAACCGTTGCATGAAGGTTTACTGAATGGTGCAATGCAGGAGTACCAACTGTTTATATTCGAGCCAACTGGAGGATAGGTCATTCATGAGTGTGATGTTCTCCACGGCACTATGCTGAGTCATGCGGTTGACAGGAGACACAGAGGACCGGTACATCGTGGGAGGAGCAGGAGGCGATCAGATGTGTGGCAGACTTTTAGCAGGGAACGATCCTAGCACGGCTGAATTTGCTGTGCTACCACCACATTTTTCCCCTGAAGGGATGCAAGAGATACAAGCGATAGGATGGGACAAATTCATCAAGAGTTTCAATGAACTGCCGCGGGGGTTCAGGAATTGTATACCTTTCTTTCTGGCTAGTATTTTGTATCATCTTCCCACTCTGCAAGCATGGTTCCCTGATCCACAGCATTCCATATGGGAAATTCCGCTATTTGGCATGTTTGGACAGGACACGATGAGTAGATTGAATCAGCTACGTGACAAAGTAGTTTTGAAGGTTCACAGTTGCCAAGAGTGTGGCATGCTCGCACATGGGATTCCAACAAAGACCGATATCATTCATACCATTAAGGAGCTTGTGACGAAAGTATCAAAGGTTGAAGGCATGTTCACAATTGACGTGATGAGAAAAGCTGCAGAGTCTGGAGAGACAATGGAGGCATCGACCAAGTCAATGGAGTCAGAGATGTTAAAGGCGTTAGACATGGTGACACAACAATTGAATGCCCACAACAAAGCACTGAACAAGACACTGAAGGAGAACTCGAAACAAACACAGCAAGGTTTGGAAAGAGTTTGGATGAAGCTGCATAACATAGAGGAGAACATGAAAGTTATGTTCGAAATGATCACATCAGTGTTGCATGGAAATAATTCTGTGCGAGACGGGAGTTCGGTGGAACACAGGTTTGCATGGCGGGAAGGAACACAAGACAATGAATTGCTTGTGGAAAACAGCTCGGAAGCAAGCTCAGGATCAGACATGGAAGAAGATGGGTCATTGAACAGTGGAGCAGACAACGATGAGGCCACTCCAGGCGAAGACCAATCATTGAATGATGACGAAGTAGAGGGCGATTGGTTCGAATGGGGGGGGGCCGCCACATGGTTCCTGCAGATTTCGAATGGCCACAGAAAGTATCAGTCAGAAACATGATGACGTATTGGTATCAAGGGCGGATTAGAAGCATTGATGGAAGGGTACAAAGAATCAGACCATTTTATAACTTTTACAAACTGAATTTGAGGCATGACTTGAAAACGAAACCCAGCAGGAGGAATCTTTACAAAGCAAGGTGCGTGATGATGGAGATAGAGAAGATTTGCCGGGAGAACGGAACGATTGGTGAACAAGGCGAGATACGGGCAGACAACATCCAGGAATGTTACGACAAAGCCTTTCATGTGCTGGTTGAGAGAGCATACGGGAAGTCGGCATGGCAGAGGCGTGAACTCAAGCACAGATATGAACAGCTGAGTTACATCACGTTTTGCAACAAGTTACACTTGGAGAAGGATAGGACGACAGCTCGACCTGAACACACACAAGACTCCATGGAGTCTTCAGATGAGAGTAGGGAAAGAACGACATATGCTGCAGCATTGTTGAAAGACTTATGACAGTGGGATGGGAATGAAGATGAACATATGTTTCACCTACATGATTCTACACCATCCCATCTGCCATCACTCCTCTACCATCACTCCTCTACCATCACTCCTCTACCATCACTCCTCTGCCATCACTCCTCTACCCTCTACCATCACTCCTCTACCATCCCTCCTCTGCCATCCCTCCTCTACCATCCCTCCTCTGCCATCACTCCTCTACCATCACTCCTCTACCATCCCTCCTCTGCCATCCCTCCTCTACCATCACTCCTCTGCCATCCCTCCTCTGCCATCACTCCTCTACCATCACTCCTCTGCCATCCCTCCTCTACCATCACTCCTCTGCCATCACTCCTCTACCATCACTCCTCTGCCATCACTCCTCTGCCATCACTCCTCTGCCATCACTCCTCTACCATCACTCCTCTGCCATCACTCCTCTGCCATCACTCCTCTACCATCCCTCCTCTACCATCACTCCTCTGCCATCACTCCTCTACCATCACTCCTCTACCATCACTCCTCTACCATCACTCCTCTACCATCACTCCTCTGCCATCCCTCCTCTACCATCCCTCCTCTGCCATCACTCCTCTGCCATCACTCCTCTACCGTCTCTCTCCCTTGTTGGCATCTTTTCTCGGACATCTGTCATCTACCTGTCGTCTTCTTCGTTTCCCCAACACATCTTGTCCGAACTCCCCTGTGAAGTTGCCTTGCGTATTTACCACGCCGGAACAAATTTTCGAAACGGAACTGAGATACTACCCGGTTTACAGACGTTAAAAGGACCGGTGATCAGTTTCCGAGGGCTATGAGGGGAAAAAAACATCTTTGTTTCTTGCCAAGGATCTCTCCGACACCTGTCCGATCATGACCGTACTGACCTTGCAAGACTCTGTGAGAGGCGGGCCTGGGATCCCGCCGGGGACTCGGAGACTCCGGGGATCATCCCGTGATTGTTGCCGGGGCACCGGAGTTATCTGAGGTTCGGCACCCGGCACTCTGCCACTGATGGTAACGGAAGCAGTAGTGAAGGCGGCTCCCGGTCTACCAGGCTGGACGGACGGTGATCGGCCCGGGTCAGGAAACTTCAAGAAACGGCGTGAACTTCGGAACCATACTAATCAGGCGGGCAGTTGAGACGGTGGCCGACTGGGCGAACGGCGTAACCGTGAACTGAACTTCTGAAGTTGAACTGAGGGGCTCGGTGCCACTACTGCAGCGGCCTCAGGCGTGACTCCCGCCGGCAACTCCCGCCGGCACAGTGCCGTTGGGCCCGGGCAGGTGAAGTTATGTCAATGGTAGGTGACCGTTCAACTTCCGAGACAATGCTTGCCGGGATGGCAAGCCAATGACACGGTGAATGGGAACAACGCTCCCAGGTGGGATGGAAGACTGGGACGCACGTCTCAGGCCATGCGTCACATGTGGCGGGAGGAGGCGGGTGAGAGGTTTGATGCCGAATGTTGACATCAAGACATAGACGGATCAAGTTGTGGCATGATATGGGGCACTGAAGGATTCCTGGGTGTCTCTTTATACATAGTAGTATAGTTTACATGCCCTGCAGTACGAAATGATGATGATGATTATGACTCAGTGAGATCATCATCATCATCATCATCAGCAGCAGCAGCAGCAGCAGCAGAGGGGGGGTCGTTGAATGCTGCAGTCGAAGTAGATGTTGTCGAAAAGCGTCGAAAAGCATCGCATGGTCCAGAAGCGTCGGTGTCTCACTGCCACGAGGTTGGGCCTGATCCGGGATGATCATGGGGAGGCAACCGTCAAGCCTCCGTGACTCAGAGAGACCGCACGCTTGAAGACGACCCTTGAGTGAGACACTGCATGGTGAGTCCATCATGGGGGAGAGGAGCATGGCAGCCGGGATGGGGCAGGGGATGCAACCGGCGGCTGTCACGGTGGGGGGGGGAGGCGGCGGGCGTCGCCGCCATGGGGCATGCGGGGTTTGAAAGTGGGACAAGTCGCAACGGACGGGCCGCAAGGCACCCGGTACATATCTGTACGGGGGGGGGTACCGGGAGCGGGTTAGAATTGAGTAAAGGCTGGGGTGCCCGTACCCACCCCGGTACCGCGGGCGGTACCGGGGGGATCAGTCAACCCCGCCCCTAAATGTCGCCCTTGTTTTTTTTCCCCTTTGCTCCTGTACCTTTTTGAAAATCTCAAAACATCCCAATCGTAGAATTCAGATCGGGGTATCACTAGGAGACCTACGGGCGCAGATTGATCTCGGTCATTGCCAATGGGGGACATGACCTGTATATCCTCCGTTATCACGAGGTCTGTATATCCCCCGATATCACTTGGGTGTTCCTAGAACGGAGGGGTGGTGAGAATTGCCTGCATGCAGGGAAAAAAAAAAATTTACACTGAGTGCAGTCCTGGCCGTTTAGGGGTCAGAGTCACGGCAAGGAGCAGCTCATGGGACAGCGCGGCGCAGGCCGCTGAGTGTTTCCGATTGAGTCGCAGCAGTCCTCAACCCTCAGATCTGATCTGTATATATCCCCCGATATCCGATGATCCCCCTCGGTGTTCATAGAACGGAGGGGTGGTGAGAATTGCCTGCATGCAAGGAGAAAAAAAAGAATTGCGGCCGCGCCGGGGGTCACACGCCGGACTGGGAGCACTCCGACTCGGCAGCTCATGGGACACTGGAGCCTCGGAGCGCTCCGAGCCAGCGGCCAGCACCCAGTACGGTCAGGCTCCGATCGGACCGACGGCCGACTGACTGCAGTCAGGCGGCACAACCCTCAGTCGGGGGCCGGCTCCTCCGCCGGACCCTCACAGTGACCCTCAACCCCCGGGCCCAGTTACCGTACTACCTTTGAGTGAAGGAAATGTACCGTACCGCAGTCGCGGCCGGCCCGGCAGTGCCACGAGCAGTCACGGTGCCACCGGGCCGGCCGTCACAGTCACTGGCCCAGTGGAACGGTAAGGCCCAATGGCAGCCGGCAGACACACGCCGCCGGCCGCGTGCCACATTGGCCCAGGCGGCTCCGACTGACTCCCCCCCGGGGCCCGGCCCGCCGGGCCGCCGGGGCCGCGGGGCCGCCGGTAGTACGGCCCGGGCGGCGCGGCCCTGGCTCACAAGCTGTCACTGTGCGGCCTCCCGGGCCCACTGAGTCATTCCGGCGCCGTACCGCCGGTACGGTACTGTAGTACGGTCGCCCCCGTACGGTCACCGCCCCGGACCGGACGCCGGGGCACGCCACCGTGACCACCGCAGCCCGGAGCTCCAGGCTCCGAGGAGCCTCCGGCCTGCCTCCGAGCCTGTGAGAGTCGAGAGTCCGGCTGGGCTGCCCGGCCCGCCCGGGCCGGGGCGCCGGGGCCCGCCCATGGAAACTAACACAATCAACTCCTCAGAGACAACCTCAACAAGAAACAACGTTAACAACTCTACCAGTGACTGTTGGAAGTGTGATTTGAAGCTCAATCATACGCAAGGGAATCCAATGTCGGACCGTCAGCGTTGCCGCGAGTGCGCAAAGAATCAAAGTTGAAATCAGAACGAGGACAACGGCCCACGAGCTGGCAAAAAAACAAGTACGGCATGGATTGACTGCACAATGAGTCTTCAAGCCTTGAAGAGTCTTTCCGGGCTTTCTGGGTCGGGCCCACTCGGGGGCTCTGTTCATGTGAAGGTTCGCGCTAACTTAACCGGATTTATTCAAAAATGTTTGGGCTGGAATCATTTCACAGTCATATGTACATTACACCTGCCTGAACCAATCGTTGGCGATCCGATCCGATCCGATCCGATCTGATCATTGCCAAGGTGCCGGGCACGATATCGTGGTCGGTCGTCTAGGCACTATCATCCAGGAAGCTTTAAAAAGTTCTTTTCATTGCCACTGAGTGTCGCTGTTCAACGACTCGAAATCTTCCGGAGTAAGAGACTTGCTCCGCTTCATCAACCATGGTCTTGACGATTGTGGTAGACAGTGGTCCCCTTCCCTACGCTTTCCCCCCTCAACTTCGTCTGATTCGACCAGTGGGTGCAAATGCGGATCGGATGAGCACTTTTCAAGAGCACGGATTGTCCTCGCCTGATCCCTGTGAAGCATTCCTGCTGTGACCATCTGCGCAACCTGCCTTGAAGTAGACTCTTGGAAGCAACTGCTGCTGTAGTCGTTGTCCGCGTCTACCCCGAGCCCTCGTACGTTTCCCTTTCCCAGTCGGTGCATCCTCGCCTCTTGCTCGTGCAGGAAGTGTTGTTGAATTCCAATCACACTACCTGGCCTGCACACTCTCAGCCATGCGATCGCCTCCTTCGCAGTGAACAAAAAATGTTTCATTAGGTACAAGGCTATGAGCGTCCCTGTCCTGCCCAGTCCTGCCAAGCAGTGCACAGCCACCGCATTCTTGGATTCCTCGCACTCCAACAAGAAGCGATGAACAATCTCGCGAGAAGGAACTGTACAATCATTGAAAATGAGATCAACATGTTGGAATCCAGCGTCAGCGAAGGTCTTTGCATCGTACTCAGCTTCGTTGAGTCTGACAATCTTTTCAACTCCCAAGGCAGCAAACAAATCAAGAAAGTCCTCAGGACTATGAGCTAAGCTGTTCCTACAAGAATTAGACACAGGACCTTTGAAAGCAATGAACTTGTCCGGAACAATAAAGTGCAGATCGCCATTGCGAGGGTTGTCGTAAAAAAGATATTCCTCGGAGTCGAAACTTGAGAACTTGTAGAAGCCGCACTTGCGCGCACGTAGTAACCCATCCCAGCAGTCCTTCACAGACAGGTCGTGTGTGCTCTTTGTCCAAGTTGCATCGCGATATGGACGCAGGTGTCTCTGGCTGATCTCCGAGAAGACCTGCATGGCCACGTCGGGGCGAGCGTTCAGGTGAAGACAGAGGAAGGAACCAAGCATGAAGACGGCATTGGTGATGTCTCCAGGAGCATCCGGAACCGCAAAAACGATCTTCTTACCCGAAAGCGTTTTGCTCAAAAGGTGATCTTTGAAGACCTTGCAGTAGTGGTGCACTGCAGCTATGTTCATTGGGCCGAAATCCGCGCAGAACGGAACATATGCGTATTTCTTGTTCATGTGTATCCATCTTTCATCGTGAGATCTGACTGCTCCACTGATGGCAAGATAGAGCCTTCCCTGTAGCACTTCAAGCTTCCCCGCCTTGAACACTTCCCTTGTACGCAAAACGAACTCCTCGTCGGATCCTTCGACTTTCATTGCATACTTCCTTCTACCGGAGGCGCTACTAACACATCTTCTTGCAGGCTGGTCAAAGTTGCTCAGCTGTTTTCGTCTCATCGCAGTATGAGCCAGCGCAGTCTCGATCGGGCTTGCATGGCGGGCAGAGCTTCCTGCGGTCACTGCCATGGTGTCCTGTGAGACCGGCGGAGAGCTCGGGGGTTATAGAACGGGAGGTAGCTCAAACGTCTATATTTTGCAACGGTTCGTACTGTTCCCCTACTCTAAAATGACTTATTGACTTCACGTCAACTTCGCTGATACCAGTACCCCTTCGACGGACAACAACAGGTAAACATACTAGCAGATAAGTTGGTTCAAAGGGGGGTGGGGGGTTTATTTGGGGGTGGTATCTGATTTCAATTTTTGGGCCATATATTCCCCTGTAAAGTGAGGCGCATCGAACAATCTTGAGATAAAGGTGGGTGGGTGGGCAACAATCGATCATGAGATTTATTGGGCGGTGGCACCGTCAGGGTAGTGTATGGTTGGGTAGGGTAGTCTGAATTCATACACGATTCCGAGAAGGTCAGCAATGCACTACCCGCTCTTTGTCCTGATTATGAGGGGGTGGGTGCCATTTGTCCGACGATATTCAACCTAGCCACGATTGCGAGAATTATTCGAAAAGATCTGTTTTGGATTTTCAATGCTGTGCTCCTATAAGAGGATGACATTCCCACGGGGAGCACATGTCCACGGTTGGGGTTCGAAGGATAAGAGACTTTTTAATGATTATATAGTAAATTGCTGCTGTGTGACCATATTTATTGAATTTTCCATTAAAATTCAATGAGAAACTGTCAACATCTCTATCCCGTGCAACGGAGTTGGTGCACCTCCTAAAATAGGCCAGCCGCGAAAGGGAGTCGAGTAGTAAACTTTCCCGTCCAGCGACTGTTCAGATCAAGGGACATACCTCCGGGAGTCCGACCCGAAAGCGATTCGAAATTGAGATTGAGACTGATCTTTTTTACTCCGAGTCAATCTGAGCGCCGCTGAGAGGCCTCCTCACACCGTGCCGCAGTGCCGGCGGGGCCCGGCCGGCCGAGTTCGGAGTTCAGTACGGCCGTACTAACGGTGGCCCCCGGGCCCCGGCGGGCGGCGGCCAGCGATCCGATCCGATGATCGGATCCCGAGTCCTGCCCAGTAGACGGTCGCCCCGCCGGGGCCCGGCCCGGCCTCTCAGTGATTCAATGTGATAGAGCCCGGCTAGCCTAGGCGGCCGGTTCACTCGCCGCCCATGACTGCGGGCCCGCGGCGGCGGCTCGAAGCCGGCGCCCGGCCCGGCGGAGTCCGAGACCGGCCGACCGCCGGGGCGCCCGGGCCCGCCGCGGGCTGGGCCGGCGCGTGATCGGACGGGCCACGGTGTGACCGTACACGGCCACTGAGATGTTCTTTACTCAAAGTTACTATCAAGTTTAAAAATCAGTACGAGGACAATCAGGAGAGTACGGTCCGAGGAGGCTTGACCCTGACACTATCGCACGGTGACTGGCAGGCCCTGAGGGGCCCGGCGCCGGGGCCAAACGGGCCGTGCGGCGGCGAGCGGCGAGAAAACTTGAAAGACAGCGAGAACCAAACTTGCCACTCACCCAATCCTGCCGCCGCGTGCAGACTGCTGGCCCACAAACGCCATGTCAGCCGCCGAAGGACGGCGCCTGGCCCGGAATCGGAGACGCATACCGTGGAATGCACCCGCGACTCTCACTGGCAGCGACCGTACAGCGCGGCCTAGTAGGATCGGACAGGGAGGCCTTGAGCCGCTGAGCTGAACCAAGAGTCCTGGACCGGATGCGTTTGCAAGTCGGATCACCTGAGACGTCTTGGCCGGCGGCCCCCGAACTCTCAGATCGGTCAGTGCCTTCTCAGTGCCAACTCGTATCCGACTCCTGACCCCACCCGAAAGGACCGGCTCAGCCTCGGCAACCGTCAAATGTGCGAGGATCTTGTACTTGTAGCTTTGTCGCCGTGACTCGCACCGTAGCTCTCCCGGGCCCACTCACTCAAGAGAACCCACGAGGCCCGGCCCTCAGTATCTCGGAGCGCCGGGTCTAGTCAGTGCCGCAGGCTCAAATCAGTCAACCAGTGCCGGCACTGAGCATAGCTCAGCTGCTTCCGATTCTGTCACACTGGCCCGGCCCGGTTGCAGTACCAGTTCACCCGGCAGTCTGAAGAGCCATGATGGGCCTTCGGCGACCGGGCTCGACCGTCGGACTCACGGTGCCAGTCTGCGCCCGGCGTTGACCACTGTCCAGTACGGTCAATACGGATCTGACTGCCTCCCGGTGATCAAAGCAAGTCTAAGAGCCGTCAAGGTTTCTGACTGTCACTCCATTCCTCGATCGACTGATGTGTAGTAAGAAGTCATTCATCGCGAGGGCGAGGCAGGAAGAGACTGGTAACCTGCAAGGCGCGGACTGTGTCCTCAATCAACGCCACGAGTTCCCTGCTCTGTCTGACGTCCTCGCAAGAAGCCAGCGCCTGGTGTTGCATTGAGAAAATAGCGATAACAAGAGAGGAGAGGGAGGGAGAGGGAGGGGATGGGAGGGAGAGAGAGGAGGTGGTGGACGGAGATGAAAAAAAAGAGAGGTAGCAAGAAATAAGGAAGAGGAGAAGAAGGAGACGAGTGAATGAAGGAGAAGGAAAAGGACTAGATGTGAAAGGGAAGAACGCAAACAGAACCAAGAGAGGTCTGAAGAATGAACGAGGGTAGTGATGGCAAGAAGACCAGACAAGATGCCTAAGGGGGTTGAATCGGACACGAGGGGGAAAATGAAACGTGGAAGCCACGCAGATGGAGGGGAAGGAGGGAAAGAAGGGGAGAGGAAAGAAGAGAAGATAGGAAAATCCTTGCCTCAGAGGAGGAGTAGATCTTTCCTAACAGAGCCTTGCGGGCGTTGCTGGCGATAGTCTTCTCGTCAGGAAGAAGCTTCGACTACCACATCTCATATTACTCGTGCTTTCTTCTAAACAAGGTTAACCAACCTGTAAAGCAGCCAGGTGAACTTGAGAGGACTCGTTGCTGCTGTGAAGCGAGGACCTGAGACAAGAGTGGGGATCAGGCATGCCCGTTGTGGTTTGAAAGTTTCAACTTCGTATCATGAGACGGCTGCTCTGCCTTCATCTCAGCATCTCCTGTCACGTCTCCTCGTGAGCTCTATGGTTGGCTGCTGACATCATTTACCTTTCTTGGCTGATTCCCGGGCACCAGCGAGATTTTGCTGCTATAGTAGGAAGCAAGGAGAGTAAATATCAGTTTCCTCCTTCCTAAAGATCTTCGTCGACCTGAGGAGCTCCTTGTGATGGCTTGCCAACATACCCGCACATCTCGGAGTTCACACAGTGCTGCACGTTGGGCTCACCACTCGATCGTTGCATTGATGAGAACCTTGATAGAAGTCTTCGGATCGAGCATGAGCGGGACAAGGCAACCGTCTTGCGGGCAGGTCTCGCCCAACAAAGTCCAACCTGCATCAGACGCTTTGAACACAGGCTCCCCCCATCGACCTCGGTACCTTGCAGAAGCTTCTGAGCAATGGCGTTGCTTGCTTTGTTGGAATCCGTCTTTGAACGGGTCAGGTCGAGAGTGGCAACAAGATGAGAAACCTTGGGCACAGTCATGGATGAAGACGAGGAGAGTTCTTGAACAAGTTCAGATGGGGTCGGGCAAGAAACCGTAGAGAAATTCAAGGTTACCTGGCCTATAGCAACACAATCGTCAAAAGAAAGAGTCGAGGGAAGGGATGAGGAACAGGAGAGAATGAGGAGGAGCGCATGTGACATACGCGAAAGAGAATCTAGGAGCAGGTGCTTAATCCGAAGACAGGTTGAGGAGAAGCAAGGCGAGAAAACGAGGGGTGAAGATAAGGAACAAGGAACCAAACATGAGAGAAGGCGAAGAAGGCGGAAAGCAGGCAGGTCACAAAGAACAGAGGAGTCTAATCACCTTGTTGTTTCTTCCCTCTTTGCTGAAAGCGTGGTGGTGTCTTGCTTACTTGTTCCAGCCGCGTGCTGAGTTTGATCTTTCATTTCTTTCTTTCCTTCCTTGACTTCTTCTGCACTTTGACATCACCAACACTCAGTCTTAGGTCAAGGGTCCAACCTTTCTCCGGCGCATCAGGGGAGTCTTTCTTGATGTGGACATTGCATGCAACACAAAAGAGCTCTCCCTTCCTGTCCAGGAGTGGTTCAACAGAATTGTCTATTTCACTGCTACTGCCCAACCTGCTCCTTACGAGCGGCGTGTAGACACACTGTGGGCACGCGTCTCCCTGAGGTGACTTATCACGCAGTGATAGCTGACGGGTGGAGGAACAACCCCTAGTTGACAGGGGAAGAGTGTGGGTGTGTGAGAGTGTGGGGGTGGGGGTTGATGGGTATGTAGGTGTGGAAGGGAGGGCGGGGAAGGAGTAGGAGCAGAAGTTGGAATTGGAGTAGGAATAAGAGCAGAAGTGGGATTACACGTTAAGGGGTAGGTGCAGGAGTAGAAATAAAAGTAGGAGTGGGAGTGGGAGTGGGAGTGGGAGTGGGAGTAGGAGGAGGAGAAAAAGGGGAAGGGGTGGAAGGGGGCAGGAGGAGGAGGAGAGGAGGAGGAGGAGAGGAGGAGGAGGAGAGGAGTGGCTGCTGAGACGAGCCATGGAGGAGGAGGAGGAGATAGCAGGGACGGGAGGGTCTCAAAATTAACACTGGGAAGAAAGCAGCTCAGTGAGGGCTAGGAGAGTTTTCTGTTTACAACCTT